TTTATTGTATTTCTGTTCTTGGACACTGGATGAATCTAGCTTTTTGCCAAAACTCCACGATTACTTTGCATTAAGATAGCGCTGGCAGCCAGTAGCACATGATGACCCGTGACTCAGTTCATTGACTTGGCTGACACTACACCAGCGCATGGAAGTCTGCGTTAGATTCGAGCCTCAGATAAACCCTGCACAGAACAGCATGTTTTTGTCCAGCCGGGATGCTTGAGCTTAGACTGTAGCCCCACACCCCTGTGTTTAAATTCATGGCTCTTTGCTCTTAAACCTCATTCAGTGCAGCTGAGGTACTGCACAATCTCTCTGTGCTGCTTGGGGAACAAACGTGAGCTGAATTGGTTGCGTCGTGCCTCTGTGCACCTGCCTCTGGGCACAAGGGTTTAGGATTGCGTGGCCTCAAGACTGCGGTGGGGCTTTGCTTTTGGCTCAGCCCGGGCACCAACAACCTGCATGAAGAGTCAGGGCAAGCTTTGCTGAGCGATACTGGTAGATACGTCCAGTTACCACCAAGCACACGGTAAGGGATGCAGGTGTCTCTCTAGATTGAAGGGGAGTTAGGAGCTATGACAGGAGGTCTTGGCAGGAAGTCAAGTTGTAATGGAGGATTTATTATGTGCTCCTGATTTTGACTTGCTGCTAAAGGCAAACAGCCTGCAAGGAGGAACAGTGAAGGCCAGATTTCCCACGTTTTCAAAGGATCTTCTAGCTTGAAATCCACTGGCCTTTTTGAGAGCCTAACTTACTACTCAGCTTCGGGAAGGGGGATCAGAACAGGCTGTATCGCAGGGTCTGGGTGTCCAAGAAGGACGGCTTTGAGATGTAACTGTTCTGCCAAGAGGTATTCATCTAAGGGGTCATCCCTGCTCCGGGGTTGGTTTGTGGCCCAGATGAGCTCACAAACAATGGCAAAAAAGTCGTTTTCCTAAGTCACTATTGGGGGAGTCTGGTCAGTCTGTGTAGGACCTAATTTGCCTCTGTGCTTCCCAAGCCGCATTTGACAATGTCATCTACTCAGCCTGGCTGGAACCTGGAATTAGACACTGGCCTGAAGACGCACTGTATCAAGATCACCACAAAACTGCACAAATTGGAGGACTGGGGCAAAAGGAATCTCATGAGGTCCAACAAGGGCACGTGCAAAGTCCTGCGCTTAGGACAAAGCAATCCCATGCACCGGTGCAGGCGGGGGGCCGACAGGCTGGGCAGCAGCTCTGCAGAAAGGACCTGGGGGTGACAGTGGACAATAAGATAGATATGAGCCAGGAGTGTGCCCTTGGTGCCAAGAAGGCTAATGGCATCCTGGGCTGCATCGGTAGGTGTGTTGCCAGCAGCCCAAGGGAAGTGATTATTCCCCTCTATTTGGCACTGGTGAGGCCACACCTGGAGTCTCATGTTCAGCTTTGGGCCCCCCACTACAGAAAGGATGTGGACAAATTGGAGAGAGTCCAGTGGAGGCAAGGAGAATGGTTCGAGGGCTGGGGGACATGACTTGTGAGGAGAGGCGGAGGGAACTGGGCTTATTTAGTCTAGAGAAGGGGGATTTAATAGCAGCCTTCACCTCCCTGCAGGGGGGTTGCAAAGGGGATGGAGCTGGGCTGTTCTCAGTGGGGGCAGACGACAGGACAAGGAGCAATGGGCTCAAGTTGCAGCAAGGGAAACTTAGGTTGGATATTAAAAGAAACCTTCTCAGTAGGAGGGTGGTGAAGCATTGGAATGGGTTACGTAGAGAGGTGGTGGGATCTCCATCCTTAGAGGTTTTTAAGACCCAGCTCAACAAAGCCTTGGCTGGGATGATGTAGTTGGGGCCGGTCCTGCTTTGAGCAGGGGGTTGGACTAGATGTGACCTCCTGAGATCCCGTCCAACCCTCATTTTCTACGATGCTTTGATTTCAAGAGATCAGACTGATGCTCCATTTCAGTATGGAATTGATGGGGGTCCATGAGCGCGGACGGGAGGGGAGGGGAGAGGGGCAGGGCCGGCTGACCAGCGAGGAAGCTTTTGAGAAGCTGGGAGCCTGCAAGCTCTGCATAGGGCTGGGCACGTCAGGGCTACCAGGCTCCATATCACAGAGCCCAGAAGCACTGAAAAGCCCTACTTTCCCCTAAGCCCGCAAGGGTGCCAGGCTCCTGGCTGTATGGGAACACTCAGCCAGGGCTCCCAGTGTGCTGGCAGAGACCCTGGGAAATTTGAGGGCGCCAGGCGATGCTGGATCTCTCCAGCCATGAAGCATCCCTGCTCCGCGACAGCCTGCAAGGCAGGTGAGTTGGCAAGGAACCAAGCCATCTTCCTTTGGAAACCTGCCTGCTTTCTGTCGAAGATTTGATAAACACCGATGTGTTCCCACAGCTCCTATGGACGTAGCGTTCTCCAGCAGAAAAATGTCCCACTGGAAACCTGCCATTCAGCTCTGTTATATATCTGGGTGGTTCCTGGATGTTTAGCTCTTCCTTTCTCACTTCTTATAAGTGCAAGCTTTCTGTGGGCCTTTTTGCATTAGACGAACCCTGTTAGATTAACCTGTACCATAGAGATGTGTGTGGGGCAGTTGTTTTTTTTTGAGATGTAGTATTGCGTGTGTGCATGTGTGTGTGAGCTTGGGTTGAAGCCACCAGGATAGAACAACTTGAGTGGAGTCCAGGCCCTATTGAAGTCAACGGCAAAACCCCTGGGAAGTCCAAAGGGGGCAAGGTTTTCAACCTTTATCTTTTCGAAGTTCGCAGTTAACTGACTGTTAAATTACGGCTGCGTGCATCAAACAGAGCGTGCGCTGCGTTAACATTTTTGCACCGCTCAAAACCCACAAAGGTTAAAAAGCACGAAAAGCTACGAGCTTCTGAGTCTAAAAAGGAGAAAAAAAGAGATGATGTTAATTGTAGTTCTGGTTGAGATAATAGCATCCCTGGAGATAAACCTAAAATAATAGACTCAGCCATGTAATCTTCACTTTAAGCTAAAAATAGCCTAAATGGTGGTTAAATCTAAGCCATAATTATCAGGCTAGTGAAGCTGGTTTTGATTCATCAGAAGTGGGAATTTATGTTATGTGAGGCTTTGAATATTTGAATCCCAGAACTGGAGAGAAATGAAGCTAGAGGGGCAAACAACTGAATATAAATGAACTCACTTTTTTAGAGACACGGTATGTATTAGTAATCCAGTTAAAGGAACTGACTGGTCCAGCAAGCCAGAACCTTATACAGGAAGATGCCTTTCTTTATAGTTTCATAGTTGGTTGGGTTGGAAGGGACCTGAGCAGATCATCAAGTTCAACCCCCTGC